CACACACACACCACTGTCTGCTGACTGCCTGTATCTCTGCTTTACATTACATTACTCCCTGCTTGTTTGAGGGCACTACTTAGATGCCTTAACTACTGACCTACATACCTTTCATATCTTGCATGTGTCTGCAGAAGGGGGAAAAAAACCAGCTTGCTCAATCTGCTGGGAAGAAAGTGATCTTGCTTCTGTCAGTGTTGGTGTCAAAAAACCGCCAGTATCTGTTTTAATAATCTCTCCTGTTAAAGGTTTTCTGTTTGCACTGGTGTTACTAGATTTAATGTTGAAAAACACAGTCATATGGATTTTTTTTTCCAGTAATTTCTCAACCATCAAGAATCAGTGAGCTGCACAGAAGACCGGCCTCAGAGCAGGATCAGACTGATGCATGCTGTAATTAATAGGGAAATGATTCAACATGGAACAAGCAATTAACTGGCTGAAAAACAATATAGTCTGTAGGAGGAATAGAGGTCGGGGTTATAAATTAAGCATTTAATAGAGAGCAAAGTAATGTTTTGACACACTGAATGTCTTCATTAGAGTGAAAAGAGGCAGCTTTAGAGGCAACCTATTATGTCCAAGCCAGGATTTCTTTCTTTCGTTCTTGAAATCTTAATAAAGCAGATTTAAATGATTCACACAAAATAATCCTTATTTGGGTCCTGGCAGACGCAGCCCCTCAGTTCATCATCTATATGCAACAATCTCTTTCACAACCCATCCCCCTCCCTTTAAGCCAGCTTTCTTATGATTGGCTGTCCCTTGTAAACAAAAGGTTTGAACAGCAGGTGGGTGGGGCTTCTGTACTGTAAAAGCCTTAGTTTTTAGTTCATAGGTCCTTTTCTAAGCAGCAATTTTAAGCATTGTAGCTCAGGTTGATTAAACAGAAGCGGCCCCATTCTATTTAGTGTTTCACAGCTGTTTCCTGTCTTAAAAAACAGAGCCATAATTAATCTTACTGGTTAATTAGTAATACCTGTGTTTACTTAGCAATTATATGCGAAAAGACTACTGTGAAAAGAGCTTATGTGGATTGCTTGCACATGCCCGAGCTTATTATTTTTAGCTCTGGCTTTGCTAAATAAGAGAGACTAGCATCCTAACAGTGTATATACATGACAGAAAATAAGGATATAATACAAAATAGTACATCATACACACCGGGCCCAGTTTAAGTTTAGGTTGGTCAGTGCATATGTCACAAGATTCTTTACAGAAATCTGACTTTCAAATACTTTCCAAGTGGAGAAGTTGACCTATTTGTAGTTTTACATGAAAGGCACACATATCGCCAAAGTCATTGGGATTTCTGCTCCGGAGTCCTCGAATATCTGTGTCAAATTTTGTGGCAATCCATCCAGTAGTCAAGCTGATATTTCACTCTGAGCCAGAGTATTAGATTCACAGACTGGTGGAGGGATCCACCGAGCGATATTGCTTTGCTATCCCACGAGCTGTAGCGTGTCTAAAAATGGCAACCATGATTATCATCCAGCTGTATTCCTCAGCACGGTTTATCATGGCAGGAGATGGATCCCCACCTGCTTATAATGAGAAAATCACTCGTACAGAAAAGAGCAGGGGAGAGGGCTTTGTGTGTGTGTGAGTGTGTGCATCTTTGTATCTTTTGGTGGGTGGGTGGCATGTGTGTGTGTTTGTGGTGTGCAGATGAAACAGTGAATGCCTGGAAACCGGGACAGGGTCAGAGGAAAGGGGTGACACAGCACAACCCCTCTGGCTGGTGTGCGCATCCTGTCTACCTATCAGCATTTAGCAGACCACCCCTGCCTCCTCTTATCTGGATGGAACTGATTGGGCCTTCCACTAGTCTCTATGGCTGGCTTGTATGTGTGTTTTTCCACCACAGGTGCTGGGTTCCAAAAAAGAAACAGATGTGCTCATTTTGTTATTCACTCAGCTAGGGTCCTTTATATATTTGGTGTCTTTTCCCACTGAATAGGGTGCAGCTTTTACTTTTCTTCCACTCGCTGTGTTTAGAGGAGACTCGCAGCTCCTGGACACGCTGGCCTTTTTCACACGGACTCCCTAATCTCCTTGGCTCCCTGTCAGTCAGACCGACAAGCGTGACACACCCCGTCCTCTCCTCCTTTTTCCTCCCCTCTCTGTCTGTCTCCCTCTCTGCCGTTTATGTCCCCTCAAAAGCCCCAAGCCTTTTCCATCCATCTCAAAAATCCCTCTTTCCGCATGTGTGAAAAACACACTGCACTTTGGTACCAGCATGTCCTTCTGTTTCTCGCATGACATAACACTCGCTCGCTCATCTGCACCTCGCCTAGAGTCTGAACTCTTAACTGAGAAAATAAACAGAAAGGTTTGAGGATCAATTTGGTGGCTGAAGGTCACCTCTGTTTCTGAGCGATAAAAAGGCTTAAGCTATTTTGACAGCTGGCAAGCTTTCACCTGTTCCCAAGCTTTCCCTTAGGCTTGAGGCAGATGCACAGATGAAAAACAGTTTTTTCTCTCTCTTCTACTTTTGTAGATTTTGTCAAACTAAAAGAGACTCAAAGTTTGCACTGTTGTTCACAAGCTACCTTACAACATCTGTGCACTCCATTTGTTCCCATTGTGTCTTTTTGTTTCCATTTCATTCTTCATTCAGTTTCTTTTTTTAATCGTGCATGTATTTTTAGTTGTCTGTCTTTTGATTTACTCCGGGATTTATGTGCTCAATACTTTGTTTTCAGTTGATTTTATTGGAGGATTTGACCCATTCCCACTCTACCATGTCAATGAGAAATCATCTCATCTCCTCTTAAAGCCCATGTACCCGTAAGTACGAGTGCGCTCTCATCCCATTACATTTGTATTTGTCTCTGTGCGTTGGAAGCATATTTATGTGACCTTTCACATTGTTGTTGGTGCAAGTTGTGATCGTGAAACTTTTACATGCGTTGGAAAGTGCAAGAAAATAATCTCCACTTTCATGTCCGTGCCAGAGTTTAGTGTCAGCATCTCTAGGTTGCAACACAGCGTTTACTGACAGAGATTACACAGAGTTGCTTACTCAGTATCTGGAGAAATGACTCATGTCTGGGGAGTAAACTAGTGTCTGAAACATGCTACATCCTGTCAGTGTGCTTTGGGGAATATGGAGACCTTTCATAGCACTGTGTGCGTGTGCGTAAGTGTGTGTGTCCACAGGCAGCTACTGGTAGAAAAACACATAAAAATATGTCTACAATTGGATTAATCACTTAAGTCGTGCAGAGGAATTAATAAAAATAAGCCTGGGAAGTAATGTAATAATTCTCTGCCAACATGAAATTAATATTTTATTAGCTTCTTGACAGTTTAATCAACTCTGTCTCTAATAGGAGGAAGTTTTCATCTCCCCTCTTAACCTACTGAGAGTTACCTGTATATCCTGGAGAAATTCTTCTAAGTGTGTGTGTGTGTGTTTGTGTGAATAGAAATATCTTTTTCCTTTGGTTGTTCAACAAGTCTTAAAGCTTTGCCCTTTCTGTCTATCTTTTTGTCCCTTCCAGGTCTACGTAAATAGGAGAACATCCAGCGGGGAGGTGATGCAGCAAATTCCTACAGAGACAAAATGGTTGCTTTGACACAAACGTCCCAGTGCGCTTCAGTGCGCGAGACGTTCCTCCCTCCTTTGATTTCAGTCCTTTAAACGTGTAATTTGCTGATGTACTGCCCAGAAAAGCCAACATTTCTCTGTAAGGGTCCATCGTGATGGGTTTAGGGAGCTGGGGAATTGCAGTAAAACAAAGCATGTATTTAGGGGTATTTGTGTATTTAGGCAAGTATCAATCATTTTGTTCGTGTTGATTTCTCTGCTGTGCTCCCACTGCTGCAACCTGCCCACAATGGGCAAATACCCCCCTCCCAGACTGTGACTGTATAGAACATGTACAGCTATTAAATACATTGTGGATGTAATCAGGGGCTGCCCATCATTGCCAGTCTGTGGTGCTGTGTCTTAGAGGACTCACTGATTTAGCATATTATTGCTGGTTTGGCTCAAATCTTAGCCGGAGGGCTGAATTACAGTGGAGCCTGTGGAATGAGCTATTGTGTGCTGTCTGTTTACTTTAGGCCAGGATGTGTGTGCATAAATACAGAAGCAGAGCAGGAAGAGACAGGGGAGTGTAGAGGTAGAGGGTGGGGAGGGAACAAAAGCACCAAACCTACAGGGGCATCTGTCAAAAATAGAAAATGTAAATAATGAAAGTGGGAGGGTTAAAATTAGCTTTTGATTTAGAGTTTGAAAATGTGAGCTATCAAGAATGCAAAATAGCGTGAGCCTGCAAGAGGCATTCAAACACAAAGGATGGCATGCGAGTCTTAGTTTTATTTCGGGAGTCTTATTATTGTGACTATTTTCACCAACAACAAAGTCGGTGTTTCTGAAGTGTCAGGTGTTTGTGCTCGATGATACGCTGAAAGCTTTGTTTTCACGTCAGTCCCCCTCTAACTACTGACAGATCTGCCAAGGGTGATCATTACACACACTCAAACAAAAGTTACATAGCATATTTTTAACTTGAAGAAAACAATAGAAGTTGTTTCATTGTTCATATTTAAGCACAACAGTGCTGAGATGTCTGGGTATGGTCTTCAGTGTAGAAGTAGCGTGGCATATACATGAATAGATCAGAGAGTTTTCTCCTGTCACTTCAGCAGTTTAAATTAAATTGTCAGTGTTAATAGTCGCAGCTGTGATTGTTTGAGAGCATGTTGGGGTGTTTTTTTGTTTTGTAATTTTATGCATATTAAGTAATAAGTAAAAAGCAAAACTGGTGTCTTTAAATTGCTTTATATAAACTGGCAACTTAAATTTCTTGTATTCTGACCCAGAAAAACGACAATTATTCAAATGAAATGAAATGAAAAAGTTCATATCTCCCATACTGATTGGTAGCACTTCTTTTGTTCCTGTTAGTGTCATCAAGAAGTCAGATTCGCTCATGCCTTACTGGTTGTGTGAATCACTACTGCCCTCTGGTGTTCATAGTATTCATGTGCAAATTTCAAGGCTACTGAGTTTCTGCTGCATGCTTAACCTTCCATAAAACTCCCACTTTTTTTTTTTTTTAGCACTTTCCCTGGCCAGGATTTGTTTCTTATTTTTGTGTTGTCATAGTTGTATTTGCCTTCAGTTGTATGCTACATCATATAGACTGAGATTTGGTCCATTTGAAAGTAATTGCATTGTGTTAATTGATTGGAATAGTTGGCCACTTGGCTTGTTTTCTGTGGAAGTTTTTTCATTTCTGTTTTCAGCAACTTCAGCTATCAAGTGCGTGTCAGAGTCCTCTGTGATCTTAAATGTGCTTTACTGCCAGACAAACAGTTTTTCAACTGTTAGGATTCTTAAAATGATCTGAATACTTTTTCCATTCGATTGATCACCTCGCTGTCTGAGAGATGCAATAATTTTTGTGTCATTGTTTCTTTATAATTTAAAGTTTACACACTCCTGGGAAGCCAGCTAGCGTGTGAGTAAAAACACAAAGCACCTCATATTGTAACATAATCAGTATTAACAGGAAAATGCTTCTAAAATCCTAATGTAAAACAGGTCTTCCTCTCAGTGCAATACAGCCTTTTCCTAACCTGGTGACTAGTATTAGTTGAAACATGTTATATTTGTTAAATTTCCACTGAAAAGAGTCTATCTCTGTGTAGATACTTTTTGTTTTTATAGAAAGTGGAAATGGTTCTTTTTCTCTTCAATTTTGCGTCCTGTGTTCCTCCAACCCGATGTGACCTGAATTTGTATTCCTATTTATCCAGAACTGTGCTTTGTGCTCATGTAAATATGTGTTTGTTAATAAAAGAATGTGCTCTTTTGATGGTCCCATGTGTCATTTAGTAGGTAATTCTGTTTTTGTAAAAAAATAAAATAAAATCCAGAAGCTATAAATATGATGGCAGCTTGAACTGTTTATTGTAGAAAATGATCTGGTAAGCCTGACAAAATAAGCAATCAGCACTCTTTATTCTTTCCAGTACAACAGAAACTGGGGCCTGTGGAAAACTCAAGGCCACTCATGCAACACCTGTATAGGGGTGGCTTTTCACTACAGCCTTAGGACATGAAAGCACGGACGCTGCCTCTGATGACAGCTCTGCAGATGGGGCAGTGACGTAGGCTGGCAGCACAATCACCACAAACCACCAGATGACCACAGGGGATGAAGACAATGGACACAAGCTTGTCCATGCACACTTTACAGGTCCTCTCCTCCTGCAGCTGCCTCAGCAGCTCCTCTGGACTGTTTTCCTTAACTGTTGGGAGAAACCGATGAAGACAAACACACAAACTATTTGTTCAAGCACAATGTTGTAAGTCAAGCCTATAGTAATTATACACATTTACTGTTTAATTGGTTGGTTTCAAATAAATAAAACTACTACAAGCACAAAATTTTGATCTTTTTTGAAAATCTTTGAGATATTGACTGCTGACCTTTCTCTCTGACAGGTGTCTGTGTTCTTACATTTCCAGCACTGGAGCCTTGCCTCATCTCTGGGTCTGATGTATGCGAACATTAAGAGTCAGTCAGATATATTCGGAACTTAAGGATCCATTAAAATGGTGAATTTTCCTTAATAAAAACAAAACCATTTGAATTCTAATTGAAATACAATGGCTGTTGAACAAATACAGTGAAAGGAAAAGAACAAAAGACAGCTACCTCTGCTTCGAGGCCTGCTCTGTCTGTCTTCCTCCTCCGCCTGCAGTACATCAGTAACCAGGTCAGATACAGACGTGTAATGCTGGCCTGTCAGAAGGTACTTGGTTTGGACCAGACTCTCCACCAGGCTGGTTTCAAAGCCCATCTGGAGCACAGACTGTACCACAGGAGAAAGCATGGCCGATGAAGCTCCCAGACCTCCGACCAGATCTGGGGATCAGAGGAAGGGAGATGCCAGGATGATTAGAGAAGCAGCAGCCTTCACTGGACACTATGTGAATTTTATACTAGTCTAAGCACCCCACACACTCTACCCTCTATAAGATAATGTGTAAATAATTGCCAAATTGTGCAAGCTTACCTCCGTCTGCCAATATATAAACATTTCAAAGCACAGACCCCTTCTGCATTTCAGCTGCTATGGATTATAATTGTGCTTCCTTCATTGTATGGAATAATTGCCTTCTCATGCCTGCCCTGCAACCATGAGCAATAGTCAAATGGCTTCCATAGCTCTCCCTAATTACTTCAATTTTAGAGCAAACATTAGCTCAGGTAATTGATCGCCCATTAATTTCATTTTCAGCTGCCCCCAAAGCAATGAGAATAGAAAGAAATGGACCTGCTACTCAGTGGCTAATTTAAGGTATTAAATCGAGTTTGTGAAAGGTATGCCTTTATCCATCAGATCTGTATTTCAACAAAAGTGGTTGACTTAGGAATAAATCAATCAAGTGGCCGCAGACCTCTTTTCTCTCTTTGTGTGACTTGCAGTGCAAACAGAAATGTTTGATCCCCCTTTTCCTCTCTTGTGTGAACAAGCAAGACTGAGTGTTGATGGTTTAAATCTTTGCTATATATAGAGTACACATATATAATTAGAGACATGAAAGCAGAAGGCTGCTATGTTGTTAATCATATCTCCTCAGCAAAAGTTAGATTTTTGTTTTTTATAGGACTTACCGCCTCTGGAGCTGATATCTCTACCCGAGGAGGTCTGTGATCCTCCCTGGAGAAGTAATATACTTTTTTTTTTTACAGATTTAAATGCAGCAGTGACAAACTACAGCTCATTAATGTGCAGCTATAATATCTCCAATGTTCCAAATAGATAAGAAGCAAAAGGTCTCACCATAGTGTCATCCAGGTGGAAATGAGTGTCCTGTATGTTGCTGATGTATTCCTGCCCCCTCGTTTGGATTAAGAACTCACATCTGAAAACAAAAGCTGCTTTATAATCTACAATATACAGACACACATTTATGCATATGGTGTATATGTGTGTGTCAGAGATTTGGCCAAGAGCATCTTTTCAAATATAATACCACCTAATTGTTTTTTCAGTTCATTTCTCAAATCAAACATGAAAGATCTTGATAACTCTGGCTGTAGGTTTGTGGTAATTAGGTCATGCTGCAGAACGAATTTGGGACTGATCACGTGCATCTCTGATGATATTATGTGATGCGAATTTTGACATCCAGAGTGACTAAAACCTTTGCACATTTCTCGATATAAAAAGAAATATTGCCATGGCATGACACAAAAAAAGCATTCAGCTGATGTTTCAATATCTGCCTGGAAATGTCCTGTTGTTACCGTGGAAACCATTTGGCATGTTCCTGCCAGGGGTCGTCGCCTGGCTCCCAGTTCCTCAGCCCTCCGTCGCAGTAGAAGCATTTGACATTGTCACCGTGACCTGTGATAATATAAGACGGCTGTGAAAAGGGAGCAATGACACACGCCCACTTAATCTTCGCAGCTTTAGAACGAACTCAGAAAATCTCTCACGCACCAAAGGAATAAAATACATGCAAAAACTATAACCTGAACAAATTGTAATGAAGGTTAATCAAGCCTTCCCTGATACTGTCTTGACAAAACTACTTGGAATGCTGTTCATGATATTGTGTCCACACCCCGTGTACTGCCTGAAGCTGTACACATCCTACCTCTTTAGCAGCTCCAGCTTTGTCTAGGTTGTTCTGTCCACAACATCATGAGTCAGCAGGACAATTGTACCATGAACTCTCACACAGTGGGGTTGGTCACTCTAGCAGTGACAAGATCTGTGCTGGATATTTTACTTACAAATACGAGTAAATACTATAGTTTTGCTCATCATTTGTTAAAAACAAGAGGTGATCAGCATTATTAGGCTTTAGAGTCAGACATTTGAGTACCTGTGTAGAAAAAGCCTGCTCTGGCAAGAACATCGGGTTGGATTGAGGCTTCGGTGGGCCAGTTGTGGAAAGTGGTGAGCCGCGAATCCTCTGCTTCCATCTCTGGGTAGACTGCTTGCCCAGCTGTTCCCTGGTCATCCATAGTCATCCTCTGGAGCTGACTCAAAAGCTGTCCATCCACAGAATCTGAGGAGTCAGCTTGAAGTGGGATATTTCCTACAGCTCGACCCAGAATGAAGCTGCAAGCAGGGAAATGTCTTTTATGCTCAGTGGCTGGGCTATCCCCTTGTACCCAGCATCTTAAAATCCCTCCACAGCAGAAACACTGTACTTTATCCCCAGGGCCTAGAAAGAAAAACCCTGCCTTGGCCAGATCTCCAGATGTGACAGGTGCATCTGCTGGCCAGTTGTGAAAAGTTCGAAGTCTCTCTCCTTCTCTTCGCATCTGAGGCTCCTCAAGGATGTGAAGCATAGCTTGCCTGTCATCCATCATTGTGTAGCATATAGGTTTCCCTTTCCCTTTTTGTTCTGTGCCAGTCATCCCTTTTGCGGTCCATAGTGGAGCGCACACTGAAGGTCAGCGCAGCACATCCAGTTGAAAATAATGTGATCAGCTGCAGGGGGCCTGCACAGTGACCTACAGGAGACTGCTTTCCAGAAAATCCCCCAAATGCCAGAATATTTGCTCTTTGATCCTTGAATGAATGACAGCCTGAACATGCCATGTTGCTCCGCCTCTTAGGAAAACACTGCAAAACATTTCAGCGGCATGCCTTTCCCTAATAACTAATAATTTTTAAAAGGATGCTTTTCTTTAAACAAAATATCAGAAAACAACTTAATGTATAGATCATGAGAATACAGGTAAATAAAAATGAGAGCTTGCACAATAAAATGTGAAAACAAATTGCTTAAATACACAAAATAATAAGATGTGTCATCTTCTTTCTTGGAAGGAAAAAAGTGTACATTTAAATCTAATTAAAAGACCTTCTATCTAAATAGTCTATAATATATGGGATGTTGAATATCTAGATGATGAGCCACGAGGCAAGCCAAGTCGAAACATAACCTACACAAGATGGGGAAAATAAAACAGCTCTTATAGCGACTTTGATTTGATTATAGATAATCAAACATTTTACCACCACCCTATACACAGTAAATAAATTTGACCTTTGACTGAGTTTAGGGGATTGCGTATGTCTCGTTGCTTCCTCCTAGTGGTTAAAGGGTGTAACATTTACTGCACAATTGCATTTCTAATCTATGTAAAATTAGCTATACTAAAATAATCATGACAACTCAACTGTTTTCCTCACTGTGTTTCAGGCTGATTATATACCAAATTCATAACAATGGGAAACCAGTGGCGCTGTGCACACAGTCTCACATGAGCGCTGTGTCTGACTGAACTGTCAGTTCTAGGGGGCCTGCAGAAAACTACCAGCAGTCTGCTGACACCTCCTGGCGCTATTTACACCCACAGGGGATGCAGAAAATAGCACTCGTGATACTGGAATAGTACTTATAGAACTAGAATTATGTTTTTGTGTTTTTTGTTTTTTGTTAAACGACTTGGATTTATTCGTTGCTACCATTAAATCACAGCCATGGATGCACTTTGCCGATGGTAAGGATGCCTCAAACTTTTGCCACCCCGTGGGGAACGACGTGAACTACAGCGGCGGCTCAAAGCCCGGATGGAGCAGCCATTGGGGAAGTGTACAGGGCTTTAACGTAACTGAGGAGGTCTCTCTCTCTCTCTCTCTCCCTCTGTGGAATTAAAAAAAAAGACAAAGTAAGAGGCGACCGAAAATATTCACGGTCGGAAAGGCCCGTTCGGCGACACGTACCATCAACTTGAATACCTTTACCGGGGACTTGACTGCTTTCGGACGCAGTATCCGAAGCGACTGACTTGAACTGTGGAAGTTGGGATACGTCCACACAGCGGAAAATATACAGCTGAGCCTGCGCTACAACTGCTAGCCACACGCTAAGCGGCGCAGCTAGCCACAAAGCTAACTGTAACTGAGCTGTGAACTTGCTTTTCAAATCACGGGGGTTGCAATTCAGTCACAAGCTCAGGCTCTGTGAGAATCCAGGGATTTGCTTAATGAATTATGTCTGCCACAAGCATTGACCCTCAGGTAGGAAGGACGACTTACTTCGTCTGTAGAGAGCTTCTAGGCTACCTCACCCGCTAACGTTAACGATTTATTGGGCTATGGCTATTGCTCGGAAGTGCTAGCAAGCCACTAGCATTTGGCCGGTGCTTGTAGCTAGCGAGTTAGCCACTTTCCGTGAAATTGCTAAATGTTTTAATGGACGAGTAAGAAAGATGACACTTTTGCGAAAATATTCAGGCTGTTGTCAGATGTATCTTTAACAGAATCGATATGTTTTGTTGCCTATTGGGGACGGGGAAAAAGTAGCAGCCAATGCCTGAATACGTGAAACCCAAAGCTAGTTAACGTCAACAGATTTACATAAAGGCTCAGGCTAACTTATTCTTTAAATAGTAACTTTTATAATGGAATATTTTCTCGTGTCTGGGCTGTGAAAAATGTTTGAATCTGCTAAGAAACACTAAGCTGAAAGCTGCATTAAGTCTGATGGCTTTTGTAGAGCCATTTTAAGGGAGCTATGGTAGTTAGCAAAGTTGTATGTGGATTAGAGCTATCATAAACAGGTTATTTAAATAAATAGTTAATCATAGACCATTACATTGTACAATATGTCAAATAAAAGTGTAATTACTATACACCTTTTAATATAGAATAGCGTAAGGCAAGTGTTTCAGATGGCTCTCTTCGGGAAGTGGTCTCATGTTCAGTTTCTAGGCAATGGATAGGTAACATGGGTTGTACTCACAAGCTACGTGTGATATCTCAGGCCGACTCAAAATAACTTTTTGGTCTTCTTTTCCCCCCTTTCCTATGATTTACTTGGACACAGAGATCAAAGGGACAAGCATCTAAAGGTGAGTTGTGGATGACTGTATCAAGATAATTACTTTTTACATCTAAAGACCAGGACAAATTAAAGGAAAACTTTAAATGCTTGGCCTGGAGATATCCAGTGGATCTGTTTTGCTGTTGTGGTTTGAGTCCACTTATCACCTTAGAGGGAAGAGTATCTGAATTACTACAATATTGTTCTTGAAGATCACCTTTGTTCTCTGACGAATAATTTTAATTAGATGTCAGTGGCCTTTTTTGGATGATAGTACCCTCATCCCTCAAATATAAATTATATGCTACCAGAGCCATGTCACAAGTAGCATATGATTGATTTTTGAACCAATGTCTTGGACAGTGCACCATCACCATTATCATAACACTAAATATATTTTAGTACAATGTTTTTACAGTCCCCCACCCCCCAGACACAGACACTTTTTAGAATAAATGCCAACTTTCATAGATGAACTCTTTAGAATTTGGCAGATTAAGATTGGGTCAGTGTTCAAAATTGTCCTTTTCCACATGTAGCAATTAAAGGAGATAGTTTCCCAGATTGGTACTACTTAAAACACTGTAACAACATGTAACAACATCTGTGTTACAACAGACCGAAGAACCATAGTCTGGTTTTACTTAAACCAGCGAGATTGGCATCCTTGTCCTTTCTGTGGTGTGCAATACCATATTTCTGAGTAATTAGTACACTATGCTGGAGATTGATACAGTGTAATGAAAATTTATAGTTAAAATGATCTAATTGGATTGTCAAACTACATTGTTTATTGTGTTTGACACTGGTAGATGAATATCTACATTTAAAGGTGATATCCTTTCTGCTAGCGATTTTAAAAAAAATTTATGCTCTTATTCTTCATAAGTCAAGTGTTAACATGTAATACAAATAATATTAAAGCCAAATGGCAAAATATTGTACTATTTCACATTCAGAGGGACATACTAGATTAGAATACCTTTGCTATTAAAAATAAAAATTTCAGAAACCTCTAGATTGGTAGATTGGGGGTGTCAAACACAAGGCCCGTGGGTCAGAATTAGTCTGGCAAAGACCCCGTTCCGGCCCGGGGGATGGACATTTAATTGGCAGTTGGCTGGCAGAATGTTTTTATTTGTACAGACGGATCTCTTACATTTGTGTACATGGCCTATGATGTAAAATTTGACATCCTCCCTTTCCTGTGGATTCAGTAACATTTTTTGAAGAATGTGGCATTTGGGCGAACGTGTTTTATTTTTATGTTTACATACGAGATTGATATTTATGAAATGCAATGATTTATGTCTCTTATGGTTTGGCATTTATTTAGTTCATGATTTTATAGTAAGGGCACAAATCCATCTCTGCAGTATGACAGACACACACACACACACACACACACACACACACACACACACACACACACACACACACACACACACACACTTTTTCCAGTGAATACTCCCATTTGGAAAATATATATATAAATCTTATAAAGTTTGTATCTGTCTTGTGTGAAACTTGTATGAAAAGCATACAAGAGTGAAAACAGATATAAGATCCCTTGAAAAATTATATAAATGAAACCTGTATGTTTTGGATACTTCCTAAAACAATATATGAAAGTAATGAGAAAGTGGCCACTTTCATGAGTAAATCATATAAGCCTTATATGATTCACTATATGAAGCAAGCCAAATCTGATGCAAGTCTTTTATAATTTTTTTCTATTTCTTTTCCATATGGGCCAACATAATCAGAAACCCTTGTAATCAGAGTGAATTGTATCATACCACCAAATTGTTAAAAATTGCAATGAAAAAGCTATTTTGAAAAGAACCTGCTTAATATTGTTTTGAAGGCACAATAAGAACTTCCTGTTGCTTCAAAATTGCTCTCATCTCACATGTGAGGGGCACACTTGTGTCTCCAGAAACTTGGTATTTTCAGTGTAAAACACCAAAGTCCTGAGTACTCAGAGCCTTAAATATCAAAATGTAGTTTTTGACGATAAATCACATTTTTATTACATTATTACTCCACCTGTGCCTCAAAATTCTTATTACTGCAGCTGTCCAAAACAATGACTCCTTTGTACTGTAATGTTGTAGCTGATTTGTGTAAATGAACATTTTTTTTTTTATCCCAACCAATTATTACACAGAAAGATTTACTTGCAATTTATTATTGTCGGTTCTTCATGAACACTGATATTGGTATATTTGATCTGCTGCAGCTTTTGGACAGACAGGTCTTAAATTGTGCTCATCTCAGGTCTGGCTGGAAGCAGGCCACAAGCTCATCCACATCTGGTTGTCTGGCATGGTTTGGCAGTTTTGGTGTAATGTTTGGGTTTTTGTTTTTTTTGGGGGGAGGGGGGTTGCTTTTGGAAAAGCAGAGACATTCAAAACTGATTAAACTAACATTTATAGAACTAATATGTTTGAGAAATCGAAGACAACATCAGTGTGATTTGATTTTTGATTTTGTAAAAATATATTAAGAGTTTCATACAATCATAAGGTTATCCCTGAACACACTACATCTTGAAAGCTAAAAAAGCTGTGGCTATATAGACCTCAAAACATAACTGCATCCTCAGTACAAAATAAGTTTAAACGATCCATTAATGTTTTGTTTTGTTTTGTTTTTTTGCAGTGCAAAATGGTTCACTGCATCAGAAGGACACTGTCCATGACAATGACTTTGAGCCATACCTCACTAGTCAATCAACTCAGGTAAAGTCTGCTCTTCAGCTTCTCTCACATGAGTTGTAAGAATGTTATTCATTATCGAATGTCACAGCATGGCAAATGTATGCACGGTCACTTTTTATAAAAAAGTGAACCTTGTAACCTACGCAGTGAAATGGGATTTGTTAAGAAGCTTTTAGCTATTTACCTATCAAAAATCCACAACTAGCAGAGTTGTATTTAATTTGTTGTGGGGTATTTTTAAGTTTAACTCAGTTATTTGCTAATGTTGTGATTCTGACTTCTATTCATTCAGAACAACAGTTACCAGTCCATCACCGACCCTTACTTGCCAAGCTACTACGCTCCTTCCATTGGATTTCCATACCCCCTAAGTGAGGCTCCCTGGTCCACAGGTGGTGACCCCCCTATTCCATACCTCACCCCATATGGACCCTTGAGTAATGGAGACCATCACTTCATGCCGGACACAGTGTTTGGCCAGCCAGGGGGCCTGGGAAGCAGTATCTATCCCCACAGGTTTAACTTTTTCCCTGAAAACCCTGCCTTCTCTGCTTGGGGGACGAGTGGCTCCCAGGGCCAGCAGACTCAAAGTTCAGCCTATGGTGGCAGCTATAGCTATCCTCCCAGCTCCCTGGGGGGCACTCTGGTGCCTGATGGTCAGACAGGGTTTCACAGTGACACCCTGAACAAAGCCCCTGGTATGAACAGCCTGGAGCAGGGTATGGTTGGCTTGAAGATCGGTGGGGATGTCACTGGTCAGGGGTCAGCAGTAAAGGCTGTAGGATCTGTGATTGGTGGACCTGCAGTGGCAGCCACAGGAAACGGAGCAACGCCGATTGGAATGCCCCCACCTAAACCCACCTCTTGGGCGGCCATTGCCAGCAAGCCTGCCAAACCACAGCAGCTAAAAGCTAAGGTGAAGCCAGGGATGCCCAACCCAGGGGGAGCTCTTCCCCCACCACCCATCAAACACAACATGAACATTGGGACCTGGGAAAAGGGCCCAGTGACTAAAGTAGCCACAGCTCCACTGCAGCAACAGCAGCAGCCTCTTGGCCTGCCTCATGCCATGCCACCTCAACCCCCCATGCAGCAAGGACCCATGCAGCCCCCTCCTCCTCAGTCTTTGGTGCAACCCCAGATGCCACCTATGGCCTTACAGCCCCAGCCCCCCCATCACCACCAGCCACCACCCCAGCCCTACCAAAACCACACCCAGCCCCCACAACCCCAGACCCGCTGGATTGCTCCACGCAACCGTAACCAAGGTTATGGCCAGGGTGGACCTGGCCATGATGGTAGTGGTGTGATGGGTGTGGTTGGTAGTGGGAACAATGGTCCCCAAGCATCTTCCAGCCAAGGACCTTGTGGAGAGTCGCACCCAGTGCTGGAGAAGCTGCGGGCCTCCCATAGCTACAACCCCAAGGACTTTGATTGGAACCTGAAGAATGGCCGTGTTTTCATCATTAAGAGCTACTCTGAGGATGATATTCATCGCTCCATCAAGTACTCCATCTGGTGCAGCACTGAGCATGGCAACAAGCGGCTGGACTCAGCCTTCCGGGCCATGAATGGTAAAGGTCCTGTATACCTCCTGTTCAGTGTCAATGGCAGTGGTCATTTCTGTGGTGTGGCAGAGATGCGTTCACCAGTGGACTATGGGACCAGTGCTGGTGTTTGGGCACAGGACAAGTGGAAAGGCAAGTTTGATGTGGACTGGTTGTTTGTTAAGGATGTGCCTAATAGCCAGCTGCGCCACATCCGCTTGGAGAACAACGACAACAAGCCAGTGACCAACTCCCGTGATACCCAGGAGGTACCCCTGGAAAAGGCCAAGCAGGTGCTCAAAATCATTGCCACCTACAAACACACAACCTCCATCTTTGATGACTTCTCCCATTATGAGAAGAGACAGGAAGAAGAGGAAGAGGTGCGCAAGGTGGGTACAGTCATCTCTCTGTTATCTTAAAAATAGGATTTTGTACCTTTTTAGTGGAAAACTGTTTCTTTAGATAATTTGACTCTTGATTTGTTCCTGATCTTGTTTTTGTCTGTCTCCTCTTTGCTCTTTTTTGACAGACTTTTGAACCTGCTCAGATACAGAACCGCTCCCGGTTGGATCAGGTAAAAAGCTGACTTTTTTTTTTTTTTTTTTTGCTGTTTGATCAGAACTTTAAATACATGTAGACATCTGTTCACCAAGAAATGCTGCACTTAGTTTGTTGTTGTCTAATGATCATATGAGTAATGTTTGAGTAATTTCTTTTTGTTTGTTGTTTTTGTTCTTTTTTTTTCTGAACAGGAGCGCCAGAACAGGAATAAACAATAGAAGACATCTATCCTTGGCTTGATCAACAGTTACACTAGGACTTGATTTAAAAAAGACAGAAGATTATGAAAATGCAAGCAAACCCTTCTTTTTTTTTATTTTTTTTTTATTAATTTAATCCTGGTGAATCTGCCATCATTGACACTTGTGCTTTTTTTTTTTTTTTTTTTT